ACTTGCTGCACCGAGGCGTGGTCAACCTGACGAAGGCGCTGATACTCCTCTGCGTAAACCTGTACCGCTGCTGGATCAGTATTAGGCAAAGACATGGCTGCGAACGAAACTAGGCTCCCTTAAGGAGCGGTGTGGTCGAGATGAACTGCGACCGAAGAAAAAATGCAATCTGCATGCACGACTTGCAGCCGATACGCCTTTGCAGACACGTAGGCTTACTTATTGGCCTGGAAGTGCTCTGTGCACCTAACTGTTGCAGCACGAACTAGCTTCAACACCCCGACACTCGCCATCGCAATCTTTCTGGCCACCCTGGCCCAACCACCCTCATTGCATCTCATTGCATGTTGGAGACTGCCCAGGCTACGAATACTGACTGAGAACGGGCTTACTCCCAACAGCTCTCGGTGGTGGTTTGCATTGCTGAGTGCTTTTACTGTTTAACATCGCTGGATGCAACTCTGCACTGTGGGTTCCTTCAATCGCCGTGGATCTGGGACAGTTTGGCGCTTCGCACGACGTCCTCGCCCAAAAGCATACCGCCAGGCAACGTCGGGAACCAGCAGCAAGTCCAAGAACCTCAAGTTCTCAAGCCCCGAGAAGCCTCGAGAGATAAGGAAGGGTGCAGAAGTGGGCTTTCCAAGCCTGCTATGATCACCAAAAGTTTTGCCATTGGTTCCTGGCCTGAGATCGCCTGCGAATTTTGGGCACCTTTGACAAAATGCACTTTGCTGGTAGGTGGGGCACGGGCAGGGGAGGAGTCCCAAAACCAGATTGGCATGACGCTGAAATGGGACGGTGCGTCGGCGATGGGGGCAGATGTGCCTTTGGGGCGCTCGAGCATTTGCCGTGTTCAGGCAACTGGTGAGATTGGCATCCTCCGCTCCTTGGCCCTTGGCTAATTCCATGTCCTCGCCGCAGGCAGTTGCGAGCATTTCGCCGAGGCTGTTGGCAATTCAACCAGGAAGTGGGAAGGCCAATAGTCGTGTCGGAGACACCTCGGCCACAGACAGAGGTCGACCATTTGGCGTTTTGATCTAACTCCTGGAGAGAGTCTACCGAAAGAGGCAGAAGTATGGAGTTTTGCCACCGACGAACGCTTCCAGAGGCAGTCTGTCACGGAAGTTTCAGCCGAACTCAGCAAGCAGATGTGCTTTTCCACATCATGTTGCAGGTATCAGAGCTCCGGGGGTGGATCCAGTTCCATGTTAGATCATTACTACGATCCTTGGCATGGCCAGCTTTGGCATGTCCATTCAGCCTTCGAGTGTCTTTGAGTCGATGCGTTCTGCTTGCACGTGTGACGGCCCAGGACAAGCTGTTGAGAGTGGCGTGCCCTCCCCTCGAAGTCGTCCAGAATGCCTACCTGGAGCAGGCCTGGCAAGCTCGTGCAGAGTTCATGCTGCGGACTTCTATCTCCTCTGTTCCTGAACAGAGGAGATGGTAGCACGATCCAAGCCGTTGGTGCAGATTTGCTTGGCATACGGCCGCACCGGCACGGTGCCACTTGATGACGTCAGTCGTCTGCAAGAGAGAGAAGCGAAGCACGCAGTGTCACTGCGTGTCTGCCTGAGGAAGCGATCTGCAAGTTGCGGGACAAATTGACCTAAGCCTGGCCAGGGGTTGGTCGGGTAGTGTACAGCGGCCACCAGCGGAGCTTCCGAAATCGAAGGAGCTTCCGACCTGTGCTGCCGGAAAACAGCTTTCGGGCGTGTCTGGTGGCTGTTCATCCATCCTCGTCGCCGACGACAGTTCAGGGCCGGGTCTGAGCCAGCGCAGACAAACAAGGATGTGAATGGGTAGATGGGGGAGGAGGACTTCTTTCAGATCGCAACACTATAATTTGGTTCCCGAAGGCTGATAGAGGCAAAGGGATGCAAAGGGTGTCTCTTGATTTGTGCAAAGCGCCTATGGCGGGCAAGCTAGGCCTTTGAAAAGGCCAGCGAGATCCAGCGAGCGTGTGGAGCATGGCAACGAATGAACTAAGCCGACACTGGTGGGCTCTCCACCACTGCTACAAAGCTCAGAAGCTCAGCGGTTCAAAAGCCTATGTCTTGGCCGCGCCTTGTGCACCAGCAACATCGCAGTGTATCCCTTCAATCAGTTACTCGTAGGAGTTCTTGTGCTGCGGTTCAACACTCCCATTGCTACGTAGCTGCGTCAGCGGACACAGACCGGTGCACCAACAATAAGTGCGGCGATACGATCGAGTACCTAGTATTGGTAGGTATCGGTGTCGGCATCGTCGATAAGATTTTTACCTAGCATGACAACTTTGTCTGAATTTCTGGGGTTGGCTGGTCCATACAAACACGATGGACCATGAAGTCAAAGATAAGATCATGAATCCAGAAGTCAAAGATCGGGCAAACGACTGTTTACAGAGGATCCTCCCAAGATGTGTTGCATCGTGTCGCGAACATCAACTCCAGCAGCAGAGCAAATGATGTGGCACATGGTCGCTGGGATGCGTGGATGGGGTTCTGCAGTGAATATTCCAGCGCAAATCAGCTCAGCTCATGTCCCAGATCACCCGGCTTCCATGCGCCGGCTTGCGCAAGCGCGCATGCGAGGTGCACCTGCATGGACCTTTCGCTTGTCGCCATGCGTCTGTCGGCGTCCCCCCGGGATGCAGGAGGACATACTTTTGTGCCCTCCTGCTTCGCGTTGCTTCGCTGCCCGCGGCTTGTGCTCTCGCACCGCGGCGAACTTGCAGCTGCACAGGGCAAACTGACGGGTCGGCTGACCACAAGACGGTGTGCGCCCACCCCGGCCGTGCTGTGCCGCACGATGCAAGCACTGCCCAAAGTTGCTTGTTTCTTTGAGCCCGGCAAGGGTGGTCATGATTACCCGCATGCCGTTTCGTGTCGATTTGACAATGAATCGCTTGCTGATGCAAGGATTTGTTGCGTTCCGGCAGCGACAGGCATGGCCAAACTCGGGGCATGTGTGGTGCCGCCCGCGGCGTGCCGCGTTGGCTACGGCACGTGTCCGGCTCACGGCACGCACGCGCAACGGCGTATTCAAGGGACGGGGGGGCATGTGGACAAAAAACGCCGGAGGTGGATACGCAATTTTGACAACGCCATTCGACAAGCGCGCTTGACGGCAGATTCCAAACATGGCCGAACTATCAATTACTAGTTCTTATACTGAAAGCCAAACCGCCAAGCGATACTGTCGTCAACGTCCGGATGATACAAGAAGAACGGCGGATGTTCTGTCAGAAGTGAAATAAGCAACTATGTTCTACAATTATGACCTCGTAATTTCTCTTCCGCAATCCACATGCTGTCCCAGTGCACGCAGCGAAGCTGCAGACATCGGGAAGCGCACAGCTCGGCGGGCATCTGCCTAGCACTCGCACACTTTGAAGGAAGTTCAAAAAAAGGCAATCGCATGAAAACGTTGTCCACTTGCCTGGCCATCCGAAAGGCTCGGGATGTTGTGGCCCCATTGCCGTGTGCGTGCATGCCCAACCCAACGTCCCAGGATGGTTACATGTTGCCTACAGACAGCTCGGGCCCGCTTGAGCCACTCAACGCGCCGACCAATTCGCGTATCTTTCCTGCTCGCAGCAGCAAGCCGCGAGCCAGCAGTGTTGCCTTCGTGGGCCGTGCACGCTGTGCCGGGTCAGGCTTGGCAAGCCGCTGCGGATACACGCGCAGCACATCTCGTCTTGTGCATTGGCGTCCTGCAGCGAGCCGTGACCGCTGTGCGGCTTTCGGGGCCCTGCTAGATGGACACGCTCCCTGATTTGCACCCTGCCCTGGGGGCCAGGCAAACCACCCCGAGCATGAACTCAACCACGGCGGGAGCTTGGTTGGGTTTGGGGTGGTCGCTAGGCGTCCGGCAGGGCCGTTACAACAGCGTTAGGGTATGTAAGGTGTGGTGTAAGACGAGCATGTAGGAGCCGGTAGTTCATGACAACAAGGCTCTAGAACAAGTGCTCATGAGGCCTCTCTCACTGCAACCAGGACAGGTGTCAGTTTGCGAGTCTTCGCTGTTTGCAGCCTTGGTCTGGTAAACGCCGAGCCTGCCAAAGTGTGAATGATGTTGCGGGTAGATAGTGCTACAATCGTTGGATCGGGGCAAAGAGTCTCGGTCGGTAAGGACGAATACAATGCCAACCCCCCATCACTAGAGAAATTCTGGTCAGAGAACGGGTTAGCTGCGGTGACGGCATTAAGCCATCCGCAGCAGTGGCCTCTACGCATACGACCGCACCGCGCGTGATTGGCCTGCCGCGGACTTCACCCTTATGTTATGCGATTGCGGTACCAGTTCGCACTTCAAGCCCTCGCAGGCACGGTCGCCGTTTGTGCACGTGCAGCGCTTTCCTTCTACGCTCCGATGCCATGTCCCGCACGGCCTTCGTGACCCTCGCCCCTGCACTGTTCGCCTTTGGACAACACGAGGCCCGCTGCCGAGCAGTAGCCGCGTTGCATCCCGACGATGCCCTCCTCATGGCCTTCCTCGGCGACCCTTACATCGTCACAGTGCCCGGGAGAGTTCGAGCAACGTTTGGCCGCAGGACCCATTGTGGCATTGCATCCAACCTTGGCAAAACCCGAGTCTATGCGGCCGAAAAAGGGCCCTTACGCCCGAGCATTTCTGAGCTGGTTGTGAAGGTTCGAGCTGCGCAGCGCAAACGACGGCAAACCTACCTTGAGCTGCTCCTTGCCCGCCGCTGCCGCATTATCGTCTTCAGCATCGAAACTTGGTGGGCTGGAGCACGCGCGGCCAGTGCGCAGTGCGCCTGCTACCCTGCGCAGTGCAGAGAAAGCTGTGTGGGTGCACAGCTGGAGTGGCATACTCTTCGTTGCTTCACAGCGACCGGGCCTTCGCCGCTTCACTCCTTGAGCACCCATGCAGCCGCAGAGCTTTGTGCTGTAGGTGACCCGCCTGCCTTGCACGAGAGGCCCGCGCACTGAAAGGTTTGGTTGTGCTGTGACGCCACTGATGTTTGTGCTGCGTGTGTGCTTGTGAAATCGAGCGTTTACATGGGGAATAGTTGGTTCTGATGTGTATTAATTCCACCGAGGCGTGTCTTGAGCAGGGGCTTCTCAAATCGAGCGTCTTCATGGGGAATGGCTTGGTTATGTTTGCTGATGCGGCATCTACATGGGGAAAGCGATGCGGATGTGACCTCATGGAATCACGCGCGTCCCCTTACACAGCTGTGTTCCACCAAAAGTCACGAAAGCTCCTCGTGAGGGAGCTTCGTTCATTACCTCACGGAGTGATCTTGGGGGTTATCGGGGGGGAGGGGTGGGCAGGATTGGCGGGTTTTCTCGGCTATCCCCCCTGCTGGAGCTGGACAAAATCCCGTTTTGGACGTCCAGAGGAAAAACAGGCCTCCTCTGATGCTGCTGATGCTGGTCTGGGCGTGTCCTCGGATGCTGCTGATGCTGGCCTGGGCATGTCGGCTTCACATGTCGCAGCATGACTGTCTGTCTTTGTCAGGCAAGGAGTTCATATGTTGGATCAAAAGCGCTCTTCGTGACATGTTGGATCAAAATTGCTCCCGCCAGTGTTGTTCTCTGCATTTTTTGTTTGCTATGGCGAACTTGACCGCAACCGAAATTCACTTCTGTGTCTCTTCGTGTGAGCTTCGTGTCGCCAGCCCTGCCCGAGCTAGAGCTTTCGTCCCAGCCCGTGGCTCTCAAGTTTGCTGTGTTCTGGTTGACCTGTGGCACTCTGGGCGCGTCGCACATCCAACCGAAGGTTGGGAACCACTGTTAAGTTTGCAAGGTCATGGTAAGCAGTGCATGAAGCAAGAACTGACAAAGCCATCGAGCTTGCATTGCTGCGCCTCAGGGTCCGGGGTATGATACTGAAGCATCTGATGGAGGACCCCGAGCTCGAACCTCAGAGGTCACAGCCCGTGGCACTTGTGCATTCTCCACACCATCCAGGCTGGGCTACTGTCAGGGGATGACCTTGGTTGCTGCGGTATTTGCAGCAGCAGCAGAAGATCCGGAGGTGGCCATCTGGCTCGGATGCTCTCTCGGTTTCTCCTGAGGCTACACCCGCACTTCGCCTGCACTGCAGGCGTATACACGCTTTGCAGCGTTCGTACGACAAGTGCGTGGGCTTTGGCTGCTCAGGGCTTAAGGTCTTCGCTGCGAGGTCTGGTGTGAGCTGTTGTGTCTCATGTGAGGATTCCACGCAGCATTGGTGCTCAAAGCCAGGAACACGAGCCCAAAGCCGTTTCCGGTCCCAGAGATGACGACATCGCGAAGCAGATCTTTGGTCCTTCCCTTCGTTGCCGGGGTCGGGCTTTGCGCAGTGTTCTATGAGGGCTTGGCCTTCATGGCAGTGGCCCCTGGCCCCCAGCATGTTGCGCGCAGCAGCTTTGCTGGAGTACGGGATTTACAGGTTAGCCGCATGGAAGGCAAAACGACCCCGCCGAAGCCGATTGTGGCTTCTGCGGCCGCTACCGCCTCGGCCGAGAGCCCTCAGAGTCCGCAGAGCCTCGCGGAGCGCGCTGCTTTGGTGCCTTTCGCTGTGCTGGGCATGGCCAAGGCGCTGGCTCCTCTGAGGCGCTTTGGCACGGGCCGCTCTTTCGGTCTCGGTCGCCGAGCAGAGGGTGACGCCGAAAGCACAGAAGAGGAGAGCACGATGCAAAAGCTGAGCACCGCCTTCTGCAATCTTTTCGCCATCTGGTTGGCGATCGCAGCGGTGGCTGCCTTGAAGCAGCCTTCCACATTCACTTGGGTGAAGTCGGAGTACTTTACGGGCTTGCTTGGCTTGCTCATGTTCTCTGTCGGCATTACGACAACCATCGACGACTTCAAGGAGTGCCTCAAACGTCCCGGGGCCGTTGCGATCAACTTCATCTCTTGCTACGGGATCATGCCCTTGTTGGCGTTCATGCTTGCGAAGGCCATTGGTGCGGAGGGCGCCATATTGGCAGGCCTTGTTTTGGTGGGATCCATCAATGGCGGCCAGGCGTCGAACCTTTGCACCTTGATTGCCGGTGGTGATGTTGCTCTGAGCGTTCTCATGACGACTTCGACCACCTTGGGCTGCATCGTCATGACCCCATTGATCTGCAAAGTCGTCTTGGGAGCTGTGGTGCCGGTGGATGCCATGGGTATCGTGGTCTCCACCTTCCAGGTGGTTTTGGCACCCATTTTCTTGGGTGTCGGCTGCAACACCCTCGTGCCCAAATTCTGCAAGGCAGTGACACCATACACCCCAGTGATCGGCGTGATCTCCACGGTATTGCTTGTCGGAGCTTCAGTGGCGGGCTGTGCAGCACCCATCAAAGGAGCCGGGATTCCGTTGCAGCTGGCATGCCTTGCCCTGCACCTTTTCGGAGGTTTGCTGGGTTTCTTCGCCACACAGATCTGCGGCTTTGACGAGAGAACGTGCCGTACAGTAGCCATCGAGACCTCAATGAAGTCCTCTGCCTTCGGCTTTCTCCTTGCTTCGTTGCACTTCGGAGCCCGAAACCCAGAGATCTAGAGCTGGGACAGACGGACTAGGAGGTACTGTAGGGCCTGTAGGGGTCTGACTTGGCGCCGCTGGCTTGGCAAATTGAGGCCTTCAACGTGAGGGTGCCTTCTGCCGTGAGCGTGGTCTGGATGGCCATCGTAGGCAGCGTGTTGGCTGTGTACTGGAAGGGGAAGGCCACAGCCTTCTGATGCTGGGCACCCAGAACAGGATGGCGCGAGTAACTCACCGCTCAGCAGCTCCTTGCTTCCCGAGGTCAGGTCGTGAGCTGGATGCCATCCTGATTTTGCATCTTGTCCTGAACATCACAGCGCGACCTCTGCCGGTTTGGAATCCAAATATTGTTGGTGTTTGTGTTACCACATCCTGCCATGGTGCATGTGAGGTGAAAGAACTGCCAACAGCTTGATTTTCACAAGGTGCTGCCTTGGTTTCCCTGTCATCTACGCTTTGCTGGTGCCTGTCTGTGTCCTCATGCATATCGCAGGTGCATCAGGTGGTGATGGTCTTGGCAAATGATTTCAACAGCCTTCTGATCGATTTCTGATGCTTGCACTCTGGCATGGCTCACGCTTGAGCGAGAGCCTGTATCTTCTTGTGCAAACCTCGCACATTCATCAAGAGGGCTAACCCTACCGTGCGGTAAGATGTGAGCCCTCTTTGCACTGCCACGTGCCATGTGCACCAATTGTATCTACAGGCGACATGTGAAGTAAGGGTATGCTGTGCTTAGGAGAAACATCCAGTAGCTGCGCTGGTTAATGGATGTGGGGTTTGCCAGAGCCTTTGACGGTTGCATGCCCGACTTCTCCGTAATGATTTGCACCGTTACTCAAGATGGCTGGTACCTCTTAGCGATGCTGTCCGTTCTCTGAGCAGAAGCCGGGCAGACTCTGCAACGTAACTGAAAGAAAAGTCAAGCCAGCGCAAAGGCTGGTTGATGATGCAGGTGCTCATGTGGATAGCAACACGATCGTGCATCTTCTTGTTTTTTCATGCCAGAACAAAGGCATCAACTTGGTGTGAGTCGCACTTGTGGAGACCTGGCTCAGGCCTGGATTCCCACTGCTTGCACCCTGCATGGCCGGCTTTGAGGCACCACACTGGCGCCGAGCATGCCGAGCTTGCATTCTCATAGCTGTTGCAGGTCCTGGCTCGGGAGAAGCCTTGGTTCGAGCATTTCGCCAGGTGGGGCGAGGTGTTAAGCCGTGAGGCCTTTCGTGAGGCCCAGCCGTGCTGTGCAGACTGAGCCTGCACAGGCTCGGTGTCCGCAGCGACATGTTCCTGCCGCAGGCGCGACCCGCCGACCCGCTGCACACCACTTTTCAATGTCCGAAGCGACAGGCACTGCTGTCCATGTTTGTGAACTGGCTGCCGCTGATGATGTTGTTGCACCGGCCCTCAGTCGTCAAGACGTGCGCGCGCGCGTCCCCAGCAGGAACATGACATGGAGCTCTCAGGCATTGCTTGAGCTTCCTGGAAGACTTCGGTTTGGCCGCGTTGCTGTCCTTGTTCGGCGCTCAAAGATAGGAGGGAACTACTTGTCAGAGCGCATCAGGAAGGCTCTCAGGAGAGGGGCGGGGCGCAGGGACGATTTTGTTGGGGTTAGGGCGCTCGAGCTGAGGGCGATCGCCTTCCTGGACCTCCACGAAGCACGCTTGCTCACCCAGCCCACTTTCGAGGAAGCTGACGGCCTCCGGCATGGGGAAAACTCCGGCCATGCCCTGCTGTAGGAGCTGATGGAGGTGTTGCAAAGTGCAGCTCTCAGATTTCTGGGCCATTTGTCGGGAACTGCCTCGGCGCCCCAGGCCTGAAGCAAGCCGAGTGTTCCGAGTCCAAACTGCTTGAGATCGCGGAGAGTGGCATGGCACAGGACCGAAAGCCCACGAATCGATGGACGTCCCAAGCGCACGAGGGGGCACACGGTGCAGGCCTCCGAGGTGCTCGAAACCGAACAGATCGAGCCGAGGCACCTCCAGCATCCATCGCAGCAAGTTTCATTGCATCCCTGTCGCCTTTGACTCGCTTTGGGCCGCAGACCTCATGGTCGATTGAAGCGCAAAGGCTCGCAGGTGGTGGACGAGGCGAGGGGCATCGAGGGGCCGAGGGGCCGCGCCTTTAGCGTACTGAGAGGACGGCAAGGAGATCTTGGCCACCGGCCTGGGAAGCGTCGACTGGCGCGGGCCCCGTGGCGGAGCCCCCCCCGGCTGCGCATTTTTGTCTTTGTGGTTTCTTAGGATCTCATCGTCCGAGACGGGCACTTCCCACTGGATGTCGGACTGGTGGCAGGCACGTTCGGCGTTCGGTGCCTAAACGTGCAGCCGAAGGCGTGTGAAAGTGCTGGCTGGTCAGGCAGCTGGCCTACACTCCTCTCTGTTCAGCTGGGCCTTCCTGCAATGTGAGGTGCATGACCATTTTGGCTGCATGTACGTGTTGGTCCGAGTTTTTGCAGGCTCCGTCTGTGGAGAGCCGTGAGAAGGTCGCTGAGAGCCGCTGTGTCTCTGCTCTCGAGCGCAGCCTGTAGTTGAGGTTGGCGCAGCATGGCTGAGCCATGCGAAACCATGGAGTATCATTGGGCCCAAGTCTCTGTATATACTAGAGCCCAGGCACGTGCTCATGCCATAGTCATAGTCCAAGCAGCACTTGATAACGATGGAATACTGCGATGACCCTTTCGAGCCTTTTTCGGAGATGGGTGATGCAGAAGGCGATGCTTCCCTGCATACATTAGGTTTTCAATCACTGTGCAGTCGGTGTTTTTGGGCCTAGGAGCTCTGGCAAAACGCCGGCCCCTCCTGCCCCGGACGATTGCACACGTTAGCCGCACGTTAATGAAAGTTTGAGGGAGCCCAGCCCAGAAAGTGGGCTTCGACTCCGGGTCGAAATCGCGAGAGTGAGAAAGGAGGAGTCATCTGTGGACAGTTGTTGAGAAGAAAGCCAAGAAACCCTGACGTTAAGACTGTGTTGGAGGTCCCGGCAACCGAGTGGGGGATGTTTTGGAACAGCCCAGAGCTGGTTCTACCTGAGGCCGCGGATCAGAATCACAAGATCGTGTGAAGTCATGACGTGCAATGCATACTCTTCGGGTCTGCGAGGTGCGCGAGCGCGGGATCCTTTCAGCTTTCATGTGTTGGGAATGAAAAAATCCGTAAAAAAGGCTTTGCTTCGCGGAAGCTCAGGTCGACGATATCCGGGGATGGTCGGCGCCGGTCACTTCGAGGCTGGGCTCTGACAGCTGGGCTTGGGGGCGTCCAGAGCTCCGGAGAGGTCTACTGTCCAGATCCCGTGGACCTTCTGAGCGCATCGGCCTCAGGGAAGCGGAGCCTTTTTTCTGCCGGTCCCATGGGTCCCAGGGATGGTCCTTTCTGCTGTCAACCGGGAACACACGGCAACGGCTTCGTACGATGTCATTGCTGAAGGCACGGCCGCGCACTGCCGTGCACCATGCGGATCGGTTCCAGTCAGCGGAGCAGCAAGTGCAAACCGCTGTCAGGGCAATCAGCGGTTGACTCAATGCACGAAGGAGGCACATCTCAAGCAGCAGCTGCAGCTTTACAAGCCTCAATACACTGCTCTGGTGTTGTGGGAGGGGACTGCGGGCTTCGTTCATCCACGAGATGTGCCTGCATTCTGAGTCTATGCAATGCCCCGTTGCTTGTGATAGAATTCCGTTTATCATCCCAAAATCCCAGGCACCCTTCCCGGTGTTGTCGATGCGGCGAAAGAGCTTCGTTGGCCGTTGTCTTGTTTGGCTGCGCGTGAAAAGTCAACGCGGCACCACCGTGACAGTGAGGTGCACATCCCGGGAGACATGAAGCAATGGTCCTTTGTCGACACCCTCTTTCGTGGTGACCTTGGCATAGGGATGCACTCCTTGTACGAGTACTGGTGGAAACGGAGATGTTAGAGCACGCACACTTCGACTGCTCGATCTGGAGGAATCGGATCGACTCCGGTTTCAGTCGGATGTCCCGGTCGGATGTGCATTTCGCGACATCCCGCGAAGGGAGAAGCAAGCCAAGCACTTCCATTCGTGTACGGCCCTGCCGTCACAGTATTTGGACGATGAAATCCGTCTATGCAATGAGAACAGAAAGCTCGCATTCAAATTGGGTGAAGTGCTTCGTGCACATGACACTCTAAATGCAGACTGCGACAGGTCTGTTGCTTCACGGTCGCGAGTCTAGGGCTTCGGGTTTCGGATTGTGCCCTTGCACTCCATTTGCGGAAGGAGTGGTGCATTTGCGAGGACCGGAGTTTGGAGAGTGGGGCGGTGTGGGTGCATGTTCAGGGTGCGCAGTATCAGTATTGAGATATCAAGTTTAATACAGGCTGGAGCACGAGAAGAGGATTTCAAGGAAGTCACGAAACGCCGGCCTGGAGGGTCGGAGGATTATTCCCAAACGAGGAAGGAAGGCTTGGTGAGAAACTCAAACGTTCTTCCGAAGATTGGAGGGGCCAATGCACACCCACTGGCAGTGGTTACATCTATCGTGTGGATTTCGCTACATTTGGAACGTCATCCACAGGTGTTAAGTCGGGATAGGGATCAAAAAATAAAAAAGGATCAAACAAATACAAAGGGATCAATTAACATATAAAATAGGATCAAATAAAATACAGCTCAATCAAGGGCTAGGGGCTTCTGGTGTTCCTGGTTCCCTGGTCCTCTGGTCCCCTGGTCCTCTGGTCCCCTGGCCCTCTGGTGGGAGAGGCATCAACAAAAAAGATGCATCAACAAAACAAAGATCCAAACATACGCATCAAACACAAAACAAAGCTATTATTAAGCATGGAAACACAAGGAAAAGGAGCGGAGACAGAAAGAACGAAAGACGGAAAGAAAGAAAGAAACAAAGAAAGAGAGCCATAAAGCGTGCGCCTGCGGAGGAGCCCGGCGAGCAGCAGCAAGCTGAGACTGTAGGGTTCAGGGGTTAGTTTAGGGGTTAGGTTTAACCTTTTTAGGGTTTTGGGTTTAGGGCCTAGTTTGAGTTTAGGGTTTAGGGTTTAGTGCAAGCATAGGGGTCATGGTTTGGGTTTCGGGTTTGGGTCTTAGGGTGTTGTGAGGTATATAGGGCCTTAGGAAGATTGGTGAGTGTATATGTTAATCTGTCTATGGTTGCTACTATGATTTACTACTATCGTCATCTTGGCAGCCGTTAGCATTTCTACAACGTTACGCGGCATTGCTTTCCCCCTCAAGGGTAGGAGCTGAGTGAGAGCAGCTATTCCTAGACTTAGTATTGGCAGAACAGGGTGCGGTGTGGCACCGGTTCAACGAAGGGTTTGAGGGTGAACGATCGAGGTTTCGGGTTCGAGGCGTTGGTTTCTAATTAGCCGTTGATTCTTCCACTCATGGTATACCTTAGTAGTTTGCAAATCACTGTATGTTGCTCTGCTGTCGATCCTGTTTCGGTCCTCTTGTCAGGTTCATCTCATTCCTTTTGTTCTCCCCCCGGCTCTGCTTTGCTTTCTGCCTGGCCTACCCAATATTCTTCGTTATCTCTCTCGTTTTGCTTGTTTCATTGCTCTATCACTGACTCCAGCTCTCGCTCGCTCTCTCTCTCTCTCTCCCTCCCTCTTTTTCTGACAGCCCGACAACTCTAAGACTTTTTGGAATCCTTGGAAACACCCTGAAAGATGGATCCGAACCACGAGTTGGAAGTCACGAATAGCTTGAGAGAAGACCAAGCCCCATAAATTGGAATTCAGAAATAGCGTGAGAGAAGACCAGGCCCCACGAATTCGAATGCCCCAATAGCTTGGGAAAACCAGGCTGCGCAAATTGGAATTCACGAAGAGCTTCAGAGAAGACCAAGCCCCACGAATTCGAATTCCCCAATAGCTTGAGGGAAAGCCAGGCTGCACAAATTAGAATTCACCAATAGCTTGACCTGAACAAAGTCCTTGGCCGCACCTCCGAAAAAAAGGAATTGTAGCGCGCAGCAGCATTTTTACAGCCGTGACAGCCCGGGTTCGCCTTTTATTTTTAAACTGATCCTTTTTTATTTTTTATCCCGGATTTGTTATTTTTTTTGATCCTTTCTTATTTATTTTTTGATCCGGCAGCCTCTACACACACACACACACACACACACACACGCGCGCACACACAAACGTTCACAGACGCACACCAACACGACCAGAGACAGAGACACAAGAGACAGACAAGGTATTGGCTTCGCCCCATGCCATCTCAGAGCCACCGAAGCCACTGGTGTGCAGGTCCTGCACGAGGTCGAGTAGTTCCCCGACCCATGAGACTGCGCCCTGGGAAGAGAAGAGACTGCTCAGGTAAGGAATTGTGTACCATGGAAGGTTCTCCAAATTCACGGCACGAAACCTGATCAGAGCCACGGGGTTAAACGCCTGGCCAGCAAACCTTGCCGGAGCTTAGACGGGCATTAGCCCCTAGAACATGCGCCGCCGCAGACCCCGGTGTCGGTTGCTTTATTCAGATTCGAAGTTCGAAGTGAATTGGTTGCAAAAAGCGAGGGCTGGTCTCCCTGCTCCTTGGCGCACAAGTTCGTGATAGTTCGTGCACAGAAACACACAGTCCCACTCTGGCACAAGCATGCGTTGTCTTCATTGTCTCGAGGTTACCACTCGCCTTTCAGCGACTGGGAAGAAAAGGAGTCCATGGCTTGGCTCCGAATGCACTGAAAGAGGCCTGAAGCAATCTGCGTCAACTTCTGTCCTATGCAGGCTGCAAGAGACACTCACACGCCAACTCTGGCAGAAGGATCAGCGGAGACCTCGGACTCGCCGAACAACACTCTGCTAAATGTTCATTGCAGGAGTCTCGCTTCGCTGAGCAAAGTCGCCATGTACAAGGGGCACGCGCAAGAGACACTGATTGGTGCAGCTCACTTGGTGCTCTACCATGTCGAACCCATACATTTCCAACAGGCAGCGGGCCAGATGGTAGAGCTGTACGGTGGCGAGGTTTGGAGCTCAACTGGGTTTCTTTTCGCAATCGCTTGGGCAGACCAGACCCGAAGGTTTGCTTCAGGAGGGACTTCAGCATGTGCTGCAGTGCGCGAAACGAGCTGCTCGGGGCCTCAGCAGATGCCGATGCCAGCAATGCTCACAGAATTTTCCGAGGCGGGGGGGCCAGAAGGTTCTGTATAAGACCCTGAACATGAAGCCGCTGCCTCCGCCTTTCCACCTCGAGGTCTCTTGTAGCTCTTGGTGCTGTCTTTGTCGTGCTAGGTAGAAAACGACGATCAGCAGGTGGAAACGACTGCCAAATCCGATGCTCATCTGCTCATGGGCCAGAAGCCTGCGTGTGCTCCAGCTTTGTCCGCTGGATGCTTTTCTTTCTCCTCAAGCCATCCTGAGGTCAAGGACCTTTGAACTCCCTCGAGGAGCCTCTGAGTGGGTTTTTGGGCATTTTTGGACGCGCTGACTCTGCAGATCGTGGCCGGGGCACACGGGGGCGCCTGGTCCGCTGCTCGGCCGGCTCCCTGGTTCTCCCTGGGGTTCCGCTTTGTGGCAAGACCCTTCCCTGTGTGTTTCTTAGGTGGGTCTCTGAGGGAAGCTTTGTTGCGCTGACAGCCTTCGACGGCTCTCCGCAGCAGGAGATCTCCCACTGCACCTAACTCTGGGGGACACAGGGCGCTGGATGAAGGACAGCCGAGACAGAAGCGGCGCAGCGAAGTACAGCGTGCAGTTGGAAGAGGCGACTTTGAGACGGTGGCAGAAGCGACGCATGATTCGGTGCACATTGTGAGGACGGAAGACTGCTGGTTCGTCACGGATTATCTGCCGCTCGCAGAGAAGTTTGCCGCATCTTTGCACCCAGTGATGCCAGACCGAGGAGTGGGGTTTCTACCTTCCAGAGAAGTATTTGAACGAGCTGAGGCACGCCTCTTTGTGAAGTCTCTTCGGATGTAGACGGGCCCAAGTGAGTGTGTGCAACATTGAAAGTTCTGCCGGCAGGCAGCATCCTGTTGGCATTTATGCCGAGTGCCCAGTCGGTGCTAAGTAAGGCTAAGTCAAGTGTTTGTCTTGCACATGGACCATGCCTCGAAACTCTTGTGAGGTGGGCGTTCCTGGCGACTTGAGCGCAACGTGGAACCTTTGCCGGAAGTCCTTAGCTGAAAAGGCTTCTGCCTGCTTTGACGCCAGCCGAGCCTTGACGAAATCCTTGATGTGCTCATGGCTCGACGAACATCTGTTCCAGTTTGCAGGCATCGTTTGTAAGTCGTAAAGTTCAAGCAGCCTCCCGCAGGCTTTCACTACAAGGCAACTGCCTTCCCGAATTTGTTCTGGTGGTGGTTTGTCGCTTGTGTATAGCTCGGAGAAGCTCGAAAAGAGCTCGGTTGTCGCTCTCCTCTCGATGCGGGTTTAGCGCGGGCCTGGGCCTCAGAGGTGCATTGCGTGGCTGCTCCTGCCTAGCTTGAGCTTGTGAGGTTCTAAAAGCATGGGCATATTGAGGGCGAGCGTGGCTGTCTGTGTGGGCCTTGTGCGCTGTCTCCTCCTCTTCGCTGGCTACCGAGAAGCAGAGCATAGGCCTCCCCAGGCCTGCAAAGTGCGGAAACTCCGTGGATCCCCGAGGTCCTTACAGCAGCGGCTGCTGTTTGTGGATGTGTGGCCTGCCAAGTCTCAGGCCCCACACGAAACTCAATAGCAACTCCAGCTATCTCCAGGCAGTGATGGCAGACCTGAACACGCTGTGTTACGGAAACGAAGCGGGAATCACAGACACCGCAGAGAAGCAGAAAGCATCTGCAGAAGACAAGTCTCATCCAGGCACATCGGCTTGCTAGCGAATTCCTCGCTGTGGTTCCTCGCAGCCGTCTCAGCTTGTTTTCCGAAAATGAAACACGTCTACGATGTGTCCATGACTTTTTGCGAGCATCACCTTCAGGACAAGTGAGAAGCCTCGTTCGGCACCCAGCTGCTCGACATTTTCCCAATGTAGCATCTGAAACTTAGCAACCGTGCTCGTATAAGGCCATCATCGTTCTGCCACCACTATGCTGCTGGCTTTGTGTGAAGGCAAGCAATGGGTTCAGGGCGGCGAATGGTGCGGTGCCTCTATAACCTCAAACGTTCCCTCGTGCTTGAAGGGCTTGAAGGGCTCGGGCCAGGTGCTCGGCCTAAGCGACCGCCACTTCGCTCGGCCTAAGAGATGCGCTGGCCTAGGCTTGCCCCCATCCGAGGTGGAAGTCGCTGGACGGGCTGTGGTGCCGCGCTGGTGACGGCCCGACGGCAACTTGAGTTGATGGTTTTAGAAAGAAGATGCACCAAGGCAGCTGGAATGCTCATCGGCGTTGGATCCTGAGCTCATGATCACATGTACGCTTCTACGCTCCACCTTTAAGCGTCGACGACGTGAAGGTCTTGGCAGGCCCACTTCCAGGCCCCTATGCCTTTTTCCAGGATGCAGGGGCCCTTTTCTCTCGCAGCTTCCAGAGTCGCTCGCCCTTCCATGCAGCCTTCGCATTCAGGTCGACGTGCGCGATGAGATGACGCACTCATCTGTCCAGAGGCCTCAGGCAGATGCTCACACGATGTTCCTCCGATCCCTCTGGCTCTGCACAGGGCCATCTCTGGACGGACAGATCTGTGAGTCACGCCATTTCCGGCCAAGCACTGCGAGGATCGACCCAGCTGGTTGAGGCCCGGAACCACGCAGTTTTGATCCTGGCTGGACCTTCAAGCCCTCATTGAAAGGCGGCGAAGCACGGTGGCCTCCCCAGACAAGCGAACATGACCAGACCTGTTTTGTCATTCTGTCACCTTGGCGACAGTGTTAAAACGGATATACCACTTCTGATTGCTCAGAAGCAAGGTGACCAGGTGGCAGATGCCCACAATTGAGCTGAGTCCGGCCAGGTATCAAGCTCGATGCGCCAGAGCGCTCAGAAAGCACTGTCCACACACGCATGATCTCGCAGAAAACGAGTGGCTAAGATGTGTTGATTCAGGTTTGGTTCAGCGTACTGCATCTGACTGCCGGCCTGACATCAGCCTACACGTACTGCTGTTGGCTGGTATCTGCTTACATTCCCGGTGAGCAAGCAGAAGTCCGATGGAAGTTGAAAGCATGAGGAGGGTTTGAGAGGGCAGGTTTTTCTGGAGGCATCTTTGTGCGGAACTGCCGCGCAGTAGAGCGAGCTTCCCGAGCCTTCGCCTGGGCAGCTGAGCTGTGATGGCGGGAGCCTTACAGTTCAAGTTAGCCGAACAGTTCTTGGTTTGCAATGTTCAATGTTTTTCTTCGCGGATTGGGGCGAACTGCTAAAGGATTCAGCTTCATTCTCAGATCAAGACGAGACAAATCGAGACAAGATGATTCTCTAAACATGTTGTAGGCGTACTACGCCAGCACTTCCGGAAGCAGCAACCCCGGCCCTACAATTACTCTGCCCATCCGAGAAGGTTTCCTTATCCAAGGATCTCTAGAAGTAGCCGAGAATCCAAGAGCACTCACCGGGTATGACCCTATCCGAGTGGTTGGATCCCTGGCCATGGCTGTGGGTCGAGGTCCCACGGCGGGTCTCGATACAGAGCAAACGGGTAGCGGTGCTGTATTTGATTGGCGTCCTTGCCACGCTCTCTTATGTGATCTTTGACTTCATCTCGACGGAGGCCTGGCATGGGAAGCTTCGCATCTCCTCCGGCTCCGTCACCGTGTGGCGCGATCCGCCAAAGGTGGATCATGCTGCAAGGAACCATTGCACCAATCCCGAGCAGTATGACACAATCTTCGATGAGTCGTGGCAGTACAGGCCGCGGTCTTGTCGTCATCTCGTGGGCAGCAGTGCCTTCCGCAAGCAAGGTGATTGGCTTCACTTTCCATCCTACGTGGAAGAAACCTACATGTGGAAATACTCAAACTGCACTGAGCAGAACAGGCTCGCTTGCATGAACATGGCACGGCCAACAGATGTTTCAGAACATGGAGAGATTTCGTGGGAGGAGGTGAGCAACACCACTTGTATCTGCAACCTGAAAGACAGCTATTTCGCGCAGTATCCAGAGGACGAAGTCTTGGTCTTCACTCACAGCTACTTCGTTCCCACGCTCGATGGAAGTACCACTTTGCCATTGTTTGGCCTCCCTGAGTGGGGGAGCGTTCAGACCATCCTTTTGGCTGTCGACGGCTCCCGTTGCGTTGTCGGTGGGCAATCTTCCTGGAGTGAGGCGGAGGCAGCGATCGGCATTGGGGCACCGCTGAGAGATTGGATCCGTTGTGCCGGTATCGACTTAGACACGGATCCGCTGCATCTGACAAGTCAGACCGGCAGTCCCAACTTAGCGCGGCACCTGCGTATAATGGGCTTTATACTGGACTTCAGCTTGAACTACTTGAGTCATGGTGCACACAGAGAAGCGCACAAAGGCGTGGTCTGCTACATCACGGTCAAGGCACATGCTGCATGGAATTCCAATGTGGAGGTCCAGAAGCTGGTGCTTGAGCCCGGGACATCCACGGTAGAGCATCAGATCTATATGTACGGAGTGACTCCTCGCTTCAGGATCGAGGGGGACTTTCGTTTCTTTTCTCACACGCCCATCATGACCTGGATCATCTCGGCAACTGTCCTGTTCGGGTTGCCAGCGGTGCTTATGCGCTACCTTGTAGAGTTCATGCTGGGGGTGCCTTCCCAGATCTATCGAAGAGAGACTTGCAGACCTTTCGACATCTACGACCATCTGCGAAAAACGCAGGCGCGGATGCTGAGCTCTCATGCTGCCTACAGCGTCCTATCGACCAACGCTTCGTTAGATAAGGCCAGTCTGGAAAAATATTTGCAGGACCTTTATGATGCGCAGATACGAGATGGAACCTTGCAGCCGAAAGAAATGGAGCGTCTCTGGCGAGCGACCATGACTGGCTTCGATATTGACGAGTCTGGAAAGATCTCGCTCGCAGAATTCGTTGCAGCTGCGTCCATGGTTGACGATTTGCACCTGGATGACATCGTCCATTTCCTTGACGCAGACCGGAAGGTGGGCTGCTTTCATGTGCAGCGTCCGGTAGACTTGCCTGTAACAAGCATGGAGAGCCTGCAGAGCAGCACTGTCCGAAGAATTGTAGCAGTCCACCTGCAATGGATGTGAATGTGGCAGGTGCCCTGTCTCGAGCGCCTGATGGACAGCACCAGGCACCAGCTCCGAACCAAGAACCACAAGCTTCATCAAATCTCTCCCTCCCGAGAGCAAGAGTCCGCAGAGGATTGCCGGGTGCCTGTTCGTTCGAGCTCCGAGAATCCCAACAGCCTTTCGTGATTCTTCGGGTGCTGCAAGTTCGGTCAGTATCCAAGGGATGCACGAAATGGTCAGAAGACTGTCGGGAGTAGGTTCATGGATGCTCACCCAAGTGGCAGACAAACACTGTTCCTGTCATGGCTGAAGTTGCTCAGACAAAGCCTGTGGCTGATGCACAGCGTCAGCAGCTTGTAGCCAGAATTCACTCAATTCAGCGTGGTCTCGGGACCATCGCTACCTGCCTGTTGCCGGCAATCAAGCGGCATCACGGGCAGTTTCTTTGCAAAGTCCGCAATCCGTTGATAAAGCCTTCTTGCTTTGTCAAGCAAGCCTCCAAGTCGATCACCGCTGTGCATTGACAGCGTGAGCATACAAGAACACATGCCAGGACCACAGCAACACTGATTATGAGGCCAGGGCCAATGTGTACTGCGAAATAGCTTCTGCAACTACGGCAACGGTGCGGATCCGCTACTGCTGCAGTTTGATGCTGCAGTGGATCCACCTTTGGAGCACCGAAAAGACTCATGGGAGGAGGTGGAGCTAGTGACCCCTAGAGTAAACGCGAAGCACAGCTTGAGTCCAGGTGATGTGGAGAATGTCTTGGATCGCTCTGGCCCCATTCTTTTCAAGCTTCGATTCGTTTGGCTTTGCTCTGCTCAGTCCACCTCGCCAGGTTTCGCATGTGAATAGTATGGTGGCTTCAGACAGAAGCAAACCTCCGGGCAACGGTGTGGGAGCCTCGGTTCAGAGTGGGCACAGGGCTCTCCATCATGTCAATCTTCGCGGAGGCCATGCCGCTGTCGGGTGGCTGGGTACTGATGCAGTCCAGGAGTGCTCCGGGAAAGCCTCGGCCTCAGAAGCGCAGAAGCGAGCCAGCTGATGCACAAAAAGATCTCGCACTCTGACTCGCCAGGAGGTTTTACTACAACAGCAGGTGCGCGTGGGCCGCACTCAAGATGACACTCCATTGTGTGTGCCTTCTGCAATCCCAGAAGGACTGGTGAATCATCCTGGGAGAGACCAGCGTGATGCGACGAGCCGTGTGAGTAGGAAGCCATAGGAAGCCCAAGGCACTCGAGCACAAGGTCCACTGACACTCGGTGTTGCGGCGAGCGTGTTGGAACCTGGTCCAGTGCAGCGAACACACAGCTTGCGACAGTGAGATGGAGCCGGGCTTAAAAGCGCACGGCGTCATGCCGGGTGTCTTGGGGCCTCTCTTGCTTCAATTGGGCAAATTTCTGCTCCATGGGGTTTCTTCTTGAATGCATCCCGAGACTGCGTGAGGGGCCTGCTCGCAGCCTCAGGCCCCGCTACTGTATCTTCTCCATCCCAAGTACTTGTAGCAGTTGCGACATCACATGCCAGAAATCCACCGCTTGGTGGGTACTGTAGCTGTAAACCCTTCGAAGGCTTCGCCTGCCTCAGGCCCCACAAGGGTCACGTTATGGAGACCGGTAACTTGAGAGCTTCGGGTGACTGTGCAGGGTCCATGCCGTTCTAATTGGCACCAAGACAACACAGCTTGGATGGCAACGGTGCCAGTGCATATCCGACCTTGCCTGGTTGAGCACGAGCTTGATATGGTGAATATGATGAAGGTGGTGATGGTGAT